TCCATTCCTCCCTCCATCCATCCATTGGTCCGTCTGTCCGTCCGTCCGTCCATCCATCCACCCATCCCTGATCAATCTCAATACTCAAACAAACCTCATTTAAACAGGATAACAATAAATTTAATAAAAACAATAAATAATATCCATTTAATACTGGTAAGCAGTCGCCATTGGAATAACTACCCCTTGTCTCTTCAGTTCTCTCAATGCCTCTAAAATAACATCAAGTTCTTCACGAAACTTTTCGATCTCTTGATTTTTCTTTCTGACAATCGCCTTCCACCTTGAGTCGGATTCTTCCTTTTCTAATTTAGATTTGATATGTGTAGTGTTTATAATCCGTTCAAGATCGGATTCTCTCTGGTTGAATCTTTGTTCCATAGCTGCTATTTTGGATTGCAGGGTATCGAAGTGTCGCATTTCTGGTGTGAAGTTTTCTTTGGCCTGGTGAAGCTCGTTTTGTAAGTTTGCTATTTGCTGTTTGAGTATTCCTTCACGAGTCTATGAGGAAAGAAGAAATGGGAGGGAATGAATCTTTTGGCAAAATAGTAAAACAAATCATCAGTTCACCTTTTCGGCGCTAGCCGTCACATGGTAAAAATTGTGTTGTATTGTGTTACGGTCACCAAGAAGTTCGGACATTGTTCTCGGATTTCCGTACAAATGTACTGACTTTGAATGAACTATTTACTTGGTTTGTTTAGTTAGTTCTCTAAATACAAGTAAAATATCATTTTTCTAACTTGATTGAAGCTTTTCTTATTGCTTTTAAGAGAGGTAACTAAATAAATCTATCTAAATTTTCTCTTTAAACTCAGTGTGTTTGTATGGGAATCCGAGAACGGTGTCCGAACTTTTTGGTGTTTACGACGTGACGGCTATCGCCGAAAAGGTGAATTGAATATTCAGTGGTTAAACAAATATTTGAATAAAAAAGATAAGAAAATAGGATCAAAGTCATAATAGGAGGAATACGAACAATTAATATAAAAAACGACGGCAATAACGATAACAAAAAAATGAAATCAAATAAATAATAAAATACAATGAAATTTCTTCAAAACTTAACGTTACCTTCACAGCGACTAACTCTTCGGAATTCCTTGCTTCCAATATTAATTTTTCTCGTAGTTTTTGAATGACGATCTCTTGACTAGCCAACTTACTCTTGAGATCCGTTACTATCGAACTTGAATGCCGCACAGCAAAGTCGTTCTTCAGTTGATTCACCTCACCTTGATGCTGAGCCCGCAGTTTTTCGATTTGGTCAGCGGCATCATCACGTGCTTGTCGTGCATTGCGCTCGGCCTCAGCGAGAGAACCCTGGTACCTAACACGATCTTGATCCATGTCTAAAGAGATCTCAGCCAAGCGCTGTTTTAATTGGCTGTTTTGTCGTTCAAGCTCCGCCACACGGGGAGGAGTTTTGGGTGTGGTTCGGGAGTCTCGGTGAGGTGATGCTAGCATGGTTTCGCGTTCGTGTTGTAGCCTGGTACAAGTTTGTCTTAGCTCTGATAGTTCTTTGTCTTTTTCTTCTATCTGTCGTTCTAACGCTTGTATTCTTTCTGGTGTATCTTGCTGAACAGGCACCTCAGTAGTGGACTTCTTCTCGTCGGATTTTCTGGAGAAAACAAACAAGCAAAAAACAAGGCGTTATTACTCTGTAACGTCAAAACAAATATGGCATTGGCAGTGTATTGCTTTCTTAACAAGGCCAAATAATTTGTCAACCAACATGCCGACTATCCTCATATGTAAGAATATACGCGCACGCGGCATTACACAAAATCACAATACTCCGATGAAGGACTAGCGTCCGAAGCGTCAGTAAGTTTTTTCATCTTTTCACGATGTATATTTTACCTTTTTATCATTACTGTTTCATTAGAAACACCGACGCAGCTCACACTAGTTTTTAGCTAGTTATCTCTTCTTAATACTCCAGTTTCCAGTTCTCTGTTGCTCAGGGTTAGCCTCAATTTTCTGTACAATATTCATGTGTTGCAGTGAAGGTCCGTGGAATTCCAAAGTGTTTGTATTGTTGAAGTTGTGCATTCTTTACTTTACCGTTGGTATTTGTGAATATTTAGACACTGATACGAGGCTAACCCTGTGCAAATGAGTCTGTAATCAAGGATAACAGCGGTATTTCAGGAATTCAAAAAAATGTTCTATTCCAGTCTACCTTTTTTTGTTCTTTACATGAGCTTGTAGAGACGACATCCTGCCGAGGGCTTCCTGCAGAACACTTATCTCACTCTCCAGCTCCTCTATGCGCCTGCGATCACCCTCACGCACAGCTGCTAGCTCTTTCTCAAGCGCTTGCGCATGCGTATGAGGATGTGCTGAAGGACGTGGTTTTTCATTGGCTAGTTTCAGACTCTGCTCCAGTTCCTTGATCCTCTCCTCGTAATCAAACTTCATTGCATTGTATTTTTGCTCTATGGCTCGAATTCTTCGACTCGCTTCATCATCTTTTTCTTCCAGTTGTGACTGGAGCTTTTTGACTTGATTTTCCAAGAAAACGTAGGAGGGGGGCTGTTTTTTAGGTGACTCGTCTGTTGTTTGCTGCGCGACGCCTGGTACAGAGGACGCAGCCAGGATGAGGGCTGGTAACGAGTTGGGATATCGTCGTTTGATGATCTCTTCCATTTCACGTACCTGACATTATTGTAGGCAAATTATTTGTCATCTTTTACATCTTGGATATAAATGCCACTATCATTTTAAGTTGTTTGAGATGTTCTGTCATGTGAATACAGACCACTTTACCTTCTTATACAAAATGCCCATTTCAAATCACATGACATTCCCTTGAGAATTGTTCTTTTATGACGAACATGTTAAAATATTTACACATGAAAGAATCAACTCCTACGATTGGCATCATATTGTTTGAAATGTATACAACAAAAAAATACGAAGCTAAAAAGTTCTTGAAGTGACTACTTTGGCATGAGAGCTTAAAAACGAGCCATTATCGTTTTGAGCGGGAGGGGGAGGGGGAAATTGTCAAGACAAAAAATAGTCCCCTTCACTGTTCCCTGTGCCATTTGAAAGTTACATAGCGAGAACGGAGTGACCTCATGGGCGAATCCAGGKTTTTTTTGAAGGGGGGTCTCAGGGGTAAATTTTGTGGACAAAGGAATCCCAGTCGCATTTTTACCACAGGAAGCCCATTTGACCTCAGGAATGACAGGGGGGGGGGGGTCGCGACCCCCCCGACCCTCCCCTTGGATCCGCCCTTGGACCTTACAGTGAAAGAAACGTGAATAATTGTTAATGGTGTTTTACCTGTCTTTTAAGATCTCGTATTCTCTTGGCGTCAGCAGTCCTTTCATTCGTTCTTTCTTTTCGTTCAACCATTTCTTTTCCTTGCTGTCTCTTCAGTCTTTCGACTGTTTCCTTCAAGTTTTTGATTTCCTGGTCTTTCACTTTGATTTTGACCAGGTCTCTGTCCAGGATCTCCTGGTTCTCGGCGTACCATTTTAGTTTACGATTTAGCCTTTCAATTTCAGATTCGTATCGAATTTTCATCTGACTTTGTTCTTGGGTACTGGTTCCTACGGTAAGAAAAACCTTTATATTCAAATGGCTTCCAATAATAATGGTTATCGTATGGTATTGGTACTGACTTACAGCACGTACACGGTAAGTTATGCCGTAACATTGAAATGGCTTCCCATAAGAATGACTTTCGTATGAGTGGGAAACATACGCTACTGACTTACAGCACGTACACGGTAGGGTATGCCGTAACATTGGAATGGCTTCCCATAAGAATGGTTTTCGTATGAGTGGGAAACATACAGTACCGACTTACAGCACTTATGTGGTACGACAAGCCGTAACATTGGAATGGCTTCCAATAAGAATGGTTTTCGTATGAGAGGGAAACGTACGGTACCGACTTACAGCACTTATATGGCACAACATGCCGCAACATTACAATGGTTTCCCTAAAGAAGTGATTGGCCAGGTTATACCATACCTAGCGCCTGATTGGCTCTTTCCACAGCGTCGTCTCGCTCTCTCTCCGCCGCGCGCATGCGTTGTTCAAGAGTCATATTCACGTGTCTAAGTTCATCAAGTTCTTTCTCTGTCTTAGTCTCTCTCCTCCTATAGGAACCGAGTTGGTCCTGGAGGTAATTTATTCTGTCTGCGCCAAGGACAGCTGATCCTGGTGTAGAGTAATGCGGTTGGCCAGGGTGTTGGTCAAGTTTTTCTTTTAAGTTGGCCACTTCGGTTGCTGCAAACAATTAAGTCATGACTACTGTTATTCGACGTCGCTACTTTTGTACATATTGTTCTATGTATCATTCTATATAATTTTTTTACTACGTTTAATTTTAAGAACGTAATGTCGCAATGTTTTATAATCAACCTACTTAGTGTTAATATTGTTCTAAAATTCCTTGGATTGCCAACGCTACTGTTTGTAAGCTCCAGTAAAAAAACCTTCAGATTTTATTGAACCCTGCAACTCTGGGCAGATCAAAGATTTAAACGTAAAGCAACCTCTGTGCTATTCTAAGTCAGGGCATGGCTAACTCACAGATTGAATCCTGAAACAACCTCTGGGCTGATCTAAGTCAGGGCATGGCTAACTCMCAGATCAAACCCTGAAACTACCTCTGGGCTGATCTAAGTCAGGGCATGGCTAACTCACAGATCAAACCCTGAAACAACCTCTGGGCTGATCTAAGTCAGGGCATGGCTAACT